TGTGATGTCGACGTCATATGACTTAAGAATTTATACTTGCAGGTTAGAGGTCATCTATAAATTTCAATATTGCAAGGGCATAACCATGTTAAAAATCTTAGTTTGATTTATAATCCTTTTCAACACTATATGTAGTTTCTGAAAAGTACTGCGAACCTATTATAGATTCCCCTTTTTAATTGCTAAAATTTAATTTGCTGGACGGCAGGTTGAATATTTTGCTGGTCAACTACATTAAACATAGCTATAATTAATTTATTTGCAAGATTTCAAGAGGTTCGCAGCACTTCTCAAATATCTTAATGCGTCTTGAGTTTAAGTGTAAAATCTTGACAAAATACATTGAGGGTATGCCCTTGCAATAAATCGATTTATTAGGGCCCTTCCATTACTTTTTCAATGAATCTGCATACAAACACACGGCAGTATCGCTTGTCTGGAGAATGTACGTACAGTTTATAAATAAAATACTAAAATAGACATCGCATCCAAGTTAATGGCTTTTTATTCAACTGTAAATAATATTTCATTTGAGAACAAAAGACATTTTTCATTGTACAAAATGTGACTTGATCAGCCTCTCACTGTGTACAAACTGCGTCATTTTTGCGAGATGACGTCACATTGACAAGTGCATTGCGATCGATGCATCGTTTATATACTGTTTTGTGGGATTTGAAAAACGACAAAACTGCACGTAATAGTAAGTTTGTATGTAGTATACAGCTATCCAGCTGTTTGAAATAGCAAAAAATATAATTTTGTGGTATTTTGAAGACCCTATATCATATGTGACGTCATAGTAAACATTTCTCGTACAAATTAGGCCTCGCCTCCTTACTGTAATCTTAACTGTGCTGCGAATACATTAAAGTAATATTTTAGTGTGACGTCACAGTAAACTTTTCCCGTATAAATTAGGCCCCGCCTCCTTACTTCAGCCTTAACAATGCTGCGTAAACAAGCACTACTGTACTTTCGTTAAATCATGTCCATTGCTATTTAATTTTTCTCAAAGATAAATTGTTATTTTATTTTTATTTGCTTTAGAAATTTATATATATAAGAGAAATGCAGTTCCGAATATTTTTTGTCAAATTGAGCTCGGCACTTAGAAGAATAAATTACGAGTCTTTTTCTAAATGAAAGAGCTAGTGAATTTGTGTTTAATTTGTGTTGCTTTCTTCTATTTACCTAGTATTCTTGATAAAACAAGAAAATCGGCAGTCTACATGAAACAAAAAATAAGCATGCTCTACGTATGAAGAATTTCTCATAATGAGGTAAATTATTGACGAACAAGTTAATGAAACAAGAATTTCAAACATCTAGTTCAAAGTCATTATTTCATAAGTTCTATGGTCGATACAATGACCTTGTCAGAAAGAGAACAATTTAACATTAAGTGGAATGACGACTGGTGTTTTTCATACTTTTTGTTTGGCCAATATTTACACATTGAACCCCCTCCCCTCGTTGAATACGGCTTGAAATCAGTAAAAAAAAAAAACTGTATGCGTTTGTATAGATTATATGTTGTTTATTTATAGATTATACAATAATGTATTACATCATTAGTATATTAAGATAAAAATGTCCCTCGAAAGTCTTTTTGTCATTAAGATGTAACATGCATGTTTTTTCCTGTAAAAAGTGTTTATTGTATCAATTTATTTTTAGAGGAAATTAACCCTGTAATGCTCTGCTGTTTTCTGCATATAATGTTTCTTTTCTTCCTGCGAATAATGACTGTATCATTGATACTCTTGGGGGGGGGGGTTACTCTGTACGGTCTTGCTATCATTATCTTGAAATGTTTATCCATGCTTTCATTGCTTTGAATATTATATTTACTGTATCATTGACACTCTTTGAGAGGAAATTTACCCTGTAGATTTTTGCTTTTTTTCAATTTGTAATGTTAATAGTGAAAACTATATCAGTTATAGTTTTGGGAGGAAATTTACCCCGTAAAATCTAATATGTTAATGATGGTTGCTTTGACTTTGAAATACTGAATGTGCAATATACCAATGTGAATTTAGAAAGGACATTTACCTGTAGTTTTTTGCTATTTTCAAACAGTAATGTTAGTAGTAAACACTGTATCACTGATATTCTTTGGGAGGAAATTTACTCCGTAAAATCTAAAAGCTATGTAAACGATGGTTGGTTTGGCTTTCAAATACTGAATGTACAATGCACCAATGTCATTTTTGAGAGGAAATTTACCCTGTACATCTGTTAACTTGAAAATGTAATGTTTACGTTTTATCGATATGTTGAAAACTGTATCAGTGCTATTCCTTGGAAATTTACCCCGTAAAGTTTAGCTGTCCACAAGGCCCAATATACACTGTATCCATGTGTATTCTGACAGGACATTTACCATGTAGTTTTTTGCTATTTTCAAATTGTAATTGTAGTATCGAACACTGTATCAGTGATATTCGTTGGGAGGAAATTTATTCCGTAAAATCTAAAAGCTATGTAAACGATGGTTGCTTTGGCTTTAAAATACTGAATGTACAATGTACAGAAAAAAAATAATTGGATTAAGTTTTAAATTGAATTTGAAACATATTCCCTGCCAGTTTAAAATACTACTGTCGGCACAAGTTTACTCTAAAATACTATTGTTTAATGACTGTTTGATGTTGGTTTTAAGACTGATTTTCTTGTGTTACAATACAAATTAAATATTGATTAAAATATACTGAAAAAACTCAATAAGAATTTTATTTAATTTAAAACCACACCATCAACTTAATTAGCTCTAAAGATATTTAATTAACTGAATATTTGCAGTACTGTTCATAATTCTCAAACCTACATGTAGTTAAAATACGTGTTACTGTAGAAATATTTTTTTATGTATTATTGTCCTGTAAAAGACTTGAATTAATTATCATACATCCATTAATAATTTGTCCTACTTAAAATTACAACAAATTGATGCCTGGCGTGAAGCATTTGTATATTGCCCTTTTTTAAAGTTAATATTTTAGCATCGTTCTACATACATGTAGGTACTTTATGTATTATTTTCCAGGGAAATTTCATGAAATAAATAACAGCTGAGTTATAATAATAGAAATATAAATATCATAGATAATTTTTGCAATGAAATAATTATTTTTCAAACACGATATCTAAGTTATTTAATTAAAAAACATGTAAATCCTTACCATCAAAAAGATAAGTCCTTTCACTTCGGAGTTCTGAATGACAATGAAGACTGAACGATAAGTGAACGGTGAACGCAAAGTAAACGGAACGAAGAGCGAACGGTGAACGTTTTGTGAACAGTGAACGCGAGCGCACGGTGAACGGTGAACGCAATACTGTGAACGAAGAGCGAACGGTGAACGCACGCTGAACGAACTGTGAACGAACGGTGAACGAACACTGAACGAACGGTGAGCGAACGGAAAAATGGGAAAGTAGAACGTTTCAGGGACTGTACCCCGTAAAGTCTTGTTATATCAAGGATCGTCGCTTTTGAATTGACTACTGTATGTTATCTGTATCAATGTCATTTTGAGAGGAAATTAAACCCTGTAGAATTTTTCTATTTTAAAATTATGATTGTAGTAGTAAACACTGCATCAGTGATATTTTTGGGAAGAAATTTACTCTGTAAAGACTTGTTATATAAAGGACAGTTGCTTTTGATTTAACAACTGTATGTCAACTGTATTAATGTAATTTGTGAGAGGAAATTTACTCTATAGATTTTTTTGCGTTCTTTCAACTGTATTGTGCGGTTTTTCAATGAGTAGTAAATACTGTGTCAGCAATATTCTTGAGGAGAAATTTACCCCGAAAAGTCCTGCTATATGAATGATAGTTGCCTTTGCTTTGAGGGGAAATTTACTCCATGATCATTTTATTAAACAAATATCAAATTGAAAGTATTTCCTCTGAATCTTTTGTATAAGGAAAATGCTGATTATTTAATATTCGCACCAATAAATACCTTGTAAACTGTGTTATTTGTTGGATTTTGTCACTACCTAAGCTAAGGGCAAAATGCTTAAAACAGAAAAAAAGATTTTCTGTTTTGATTTTGGAATGCATTTAATGCAATTTTACTATATGATCTATATAGCCCCGCCCTAACACCAGAACCCCTGACCCAGGGGCCATAAAATTCACAATTTTTGAAGAGGCACTCTTGATCATCATTACTGTACTTGGTTAGTTTGTTTAATACCCAGAAGCAGAGAAGAAGATTTTCAAAGAAATAATGCACTTTTACTATGTGATCTATATTTGCCCCACCCTAACAACACAACCCCTCCCAGGGGCCATAAATTTCACAATTTTGGTAGAGGACTCAATGCTGATTACAATCATGTCAGCAGTTTGACTGCTTGAAGTCCAGGAGTAAAGAAGAAGTTTTTAAAGATTGAACTAATTTTAATGGTTTTGGCACCACCCCTCAGGCCCGAGGGGGGCAGGGACCATGAAATTCACAATTTTTGTTCCCCTTTACCCATAAATACTGTATATCAAATTTGGTTTAAATTGGTTCAGTGGTTCCAGAGAAGAAGCTGAAAATGTTCAAAAGTTTATGATCTACGAACGACGAACGACGTACGGCGTACGACGACGGAAAAAAACCGGATAGCAATAGGTCATCTGAGTTTACTCAGGTGACCTAAAAACAGCAATCAGGCTCAAAAGTACATTGGAAAAACAGAAATTGAGGGTGGAAAAAGCAAAGACCTCAAAGCACATCAGATGGATCAAATGCCATGGAGGAGTATCCATCTCCTATGGAAGAACACATGCATTTTGTTCCTTGTTATGATTTGGTTAATGATTATAATACAATAACAATATGTTATATTTTGACTCAAAATTTATTATTTTTTATTTCGTTCTAAGATCCTACTGTGAACTATTCTAGATTTCAAGCTCTGCATAAAATAATTAACATGCACCGGATTTTTTTTTAATGAATCAATTGTTTTACAAAAGGAAATTTATTTAGATTACTTCTCGGAAGAAATTATGACCCCGTTTTGCTTTCGTAATAAAGTTCCAAGGATATCCGTGGTCACATATGGTTGACCTCCTGACCTTTTCTTTTGTCTTTGATTCAAAGGTTTGAAACCAGATGTAGATGAACAAGCCTCTCCCTCAGTTACATTTAAGGCTTTGTCTATTGTAAATGAAGCATCTGAACTACTGAATTTCTTAAATTAAAAATAATCATCATTTAGGTCAAGAAAGTCAATGCCTGAGACTTCACTGGATGACGTTCTTGCAGGTTTCAGGTCTTAATATACAGTTTCTTATTTTCAAAGTCATTTGAAGGTTTTGGAAACTGTATATTGTCATTTTTATCTAATTGGTGCCTGGTTTTGACACTACTTCCCATACTTTTTAGAACACTATTCTCCGAGGTTTGAATATTTTCTGTTTTTTGGGTTAACATGCAGTCTTGTTTTGCATATAATATCAAATGCCTTTGAAGAAGTTGAAGTGCAACCTTTTTCTGGTAGGTTTACAATTGGCTTCGAATTCTGAATTGCTGCGGATGGCTGGTCATCTGATTTAGCTTGAGTGTTGTTTTTTCTCATTTCTTCTACCATGGATTCAAAAGCACCTGGCACTCGTAGCATGTTCGTTTTTGTTTTCATACCATTAACTTTTATTTCGTTCAGTTTCCTTTCGACTTCTAATTGCTTAAATAAAAATGCAGAAATAAGTAAAATTTCTTTTTATGAATGAATTTTAGTTTTAAAAGAGTATCAAAAGTCGAAATACAGAAATTTTCATTCAATTTTCAAATTCTTGTTAAATATTACTGAGGATTTTTTCTTTGTTCATGCTCTTTATTAGAAGAGAAAGTGTACTTACACATACTCTTGTTAACAATGTCACTACCACATTCTTATATTTAGATTCCAAATTTCTGTTATGTGCTTCCAGGATCTCTTTCTCTTCCTTCATTTTCTTTATATATTCAACGGATGCTTTCAGAGTCGATCCTTTATTCAATGTCATAATGCTAAAAAAGTATACATGTTATAAAGTTTAATAAAAATAACATAAAATTATCTCATAGAATTTTTTAAAAGTCTACAAAAAGACTGAAAGAAAGATATAGAGATAACGAACAGTATTCAATCTAAAAGTCCATAAAACAATACAAAATAGGAACAGAGCAAACACGGACTTCCAACATCAGAGGTGGGATCAGGTGTCATGGAGAAGTGAGCATCCCCTGCTGACCGATCACACTCACCGTGTCCTCCTTGCCATGATCGGGAAATAACGGGAAAACCCGTCGTCAATTCAGTGTATAAATAATGGACTAACAATAAACATGAAAAACGTCAGTCAGAATGAGACTCAGTGATAAATTGTATTTGCAGATAAGATCATTGTATCGACCATATAACTTACGAAATGACGACTTTAAATGAGACTGTTGATATTCTTGTTTCGTCAACTTGCTTGTCAATAATTTACCTCGTTTGATAAATTGTTCAAACGTAGAGCATGCTCTTGTGTATTGAGTCAACTGATATATATATACTCCGTATGCAGGTGATGAAGGTATATTGCTACATATAGGTAAGGGAAGTTGACGATAGAAAAGTTAGTCATCAAGCTTATCACATAAAACGTATTGAAAAGAAAAGGTAAAATGTCTCTATCAAAGTTATAAATGCTGAGTTTATACTTTGAAAAAAAAATGGTACTAAACTTTTCTTTCATATTTTGTTTTTGGCTATCAGATTTTAAAGTCAACTCCCCTCTCGCTGTTATTTTATATAGTTATTAATTGCTGATTGTTGCAATGTGAGAAAAGAAGAAGATGGTAAACATGTATTAAAGGGGGCCGACTAGGGTTTCGCACATCAATAGTAAAACAAGGCGTATTTACTGTTTAAAGCAACTTTTTTCACTTAATAAAACCAAATAAGATTAAGAAATAACGGGTCAAAAATTTATTACGATTTAAATAACTGATTTTTAAAACGATTCTTTTTAAATTTATACGTACATGTAGATTGAGGTCGTAATATTATTGTGTTTTTCACGTTAGATAACGTGACGGTCATAAAGAAGGGGTAATATAAAATGTTATAAAAGTAATAAATATATACTCTTTAAATGTAAAACACAGAAATTTACAATCTCTCCATCATATTCATTTGTATGCGTTTTATTTTGTAGTACCCTATTAAAACAAGGAAGTTCTTAATTTTTTGGCATTTTGAGATGCCCCCTCCAGAAGCAAGGCGGAAGAATTTTGTGGTTCTTACATGTAATGTATAATATAGTACTACTCACAATATATTATAGTCTGAGCGAAAAGTCTATCGTAATATTTGTATTATTTGCTTTAATATGCGAAAAATTGGCACTATCCCTTATAATTCTATAATAGTAAACGTATCTTTATTTTGAAACGGTATCTTAAAAATACCTGGGCGGTAGATTTTCTACAACATTGGCATGTACACCGAGGTCAATGTAAGTAATATATTACTTGAAAAAAGACGTTTATGGTAATCTAACCACCAAGCTCTATTATAAACCTGATGACTTTAACTTTTTTATCGTCAACTTCCCTTACCTATATGTAGCAATATACCTTCATCACCTGCATACGGAGTTTATGTATCTCAATTGATTTGGTACGCAAGAGCATGCTATACATATGAACAATTTATAAAACGAGGTAATTTATTGACGAACAAGTTTATGAAACAAGAATATCAGCAGTCTCATTTAAAGTCATAATTTCGTAAGTTATATGGCCAATACAATGATCTTGTCATCAAATACAATTTTTCATTGAGTCAAATGCTGACTGACGTTTTTCATACTTTTATACATTAAACTGACAACGAATTTTTCCGTTATTTATCGATCATGACAAGAAGCACACGGCGGTTGTGACCGGTCGGCAGGGGATGCTCACTCCTAAATGACATCTGATCCCATCTCTGATGTTTTAGAGGTCGCTGTTTGCTCTGCACCTATTTTGTATTGTTTAATGGACTTTTAATCTTGAATACTGTTTGTTATTTTAATATGTTTAATGGGATTAAAATAGAGAGGTTTTCACAATAACATCGAAGTCGCCCACCTCCGATTAATCTTTTTAGCTGTTTCTGTTCAGAATTTAATTATGATCATACATTTTTTCACCATACACGGAATGATTTTCGAGAAAAAAAAACTGATAATATTGGCAATAGACATTAAAGGTATCATAGTAAACGGTTACTATAAAAACCCGGGTTTTTTATACTGGAATCTGTGCTTCGGAATCGGATTGATTCTTGAGAAGATGGTTTTGCTTCATCAATGGATGAAATTAGTGTCATATTATTTAGAAAGAAATGAATGAAAATTTCTAGAAAATATTTATTCATTTCATTTATTTAAGCACTTCTACACTTTTCCCTTTAATTCTGAAATAAAAATTTAGGTAATTTCTTTTGTAGCCCTTATATTTATGTGTCTCCTGAGGAAACACAGTATGCATTTCTTTCGACAATGTCTTCCTTTCGGAAGAAAAGTATGGGCGCAGTCTCTTCTTATCTTTGCTAATTTCCCTTCGCATAATTTGCTTTGCAGTCGTTTGTTTTTCATTTTTGCGTTGTTTTATTTCTTGCTTTTAATTTTATATGAACTTAAGATTTAATGTTGGTTTCTGCTGTTTGTTTTGTTTCTATTACATACTATGTTAATTGTGTTTGTTTTCAATTGTCCATGATTATTATGTGCTGACATATATAAGTTTCGTCATTTACTTATTTAAAAGTGTCCATTCAATTCCAGCCTTGCATTTTCACTTGTTTCAAACAGAACACCGGAATTTTAGATATCTATAAAGATACTCACATAATACTCGTAATAACTATATATTTTTTTATTTTCTATGTAAAAGAGATCTTTTGTTTTAACTTAACGATATATCTCTAAAACAGTAAACAGTATTTGGCCATAATGAAGTTCCCAAAATGGCTGTAGATGACTCCGAAACTTGATCCAGGTCTTCCAGTACAATAAAAAATCTTGCATTTCTGCATCAGAATACATCCATCAAAAACAACTAAATTAGAGCCAACTACTATATCTTATTCTAGCAGTGTGGTATCTTATATGCAAATAATATATGCTCTCCAAGTTTTAGTTATTTTTCTGGTACTGTAAATCTATGTGCAGTGAAAAACACTTACCCGTGTGCTGGTTTGGGCAAAAGTGATGCCAGTTCCTTTATTCTATCATTAATATTGAATCTTCTTCTACGTTCAACTAAAAAAACAAGAATTAATATTATTTATTTACACCTTACCCTTTTCTTAAAACAGCAAGGTTAAAACATGTATAATAAAACTTTAAACATTTCTAACTTGGAAAAATACTGAGTAAATTAATAATTTTTTTTACTAAGAGTTAATATAAATACATTGTAATAGAGACAGACAACCAGTACTTATATTGTGTTTTTCCTTTCGAACTCTCTCTTCTCTTAATAACCTCTCTTCCAGCTGTTTTGCAGAATTTCTTGATTGGATACTGGATGTCGAGGGGTTTTTCTCATTAGGATTGCAACAACTTGTAAGAATGCCTTTGTCCTGTAACATAATTATTCATCATCAATTAAAAAACCTACACAAAATATTGCTGTGGCCTTCAACTCGATATTTAGATACATGTATATCGGCGACGCGTATTGTCAATTTACAATGGAGATTTTCAATCTTATGTCGATACGATATATCCTGGTGAGCTTAAGACGAAAAAAAAGTACTACACAGTCTGACACATCTTACGATATTTAACTTGAAAAAGACTCTAATTGTAATCTAACAACCAAGCTCTATGATACATGTATATGTGATGACTTTAACTTTTCTATCATCAACTTCCCTTACTTATGCATCAGTAAACCATCATCACTTGCATACGGAGTATATATTTCTCAGTTGATTCGATACAATGACCTTGTCAGAAAGAGAACAATTTACCATTAAGTGAAATGGTGACTGGTGTTTTTCATACTTATTGTTTGGCCAATATTTACACATTGAATTGACGACGGATTTTCGCGTTATTTCCCCATCATGACAAGGATCACACAGCGGGAGTGACCAGTCGGCAGGGAATGGTCACTCATCCATGGCACCTGATCCCACCTCTGATGTTTTGGAGGTCCGTGTTTGCTCTGCTCCTACTTTGTATTGTTATATGGACTTTGATATTGAATAATGTTCGTTATCTCCATATCCTTCATCTTCCAGAATATGTTTCAAAAATATACATTAAATCAGTCATTATTTCTTCATCTCTTTGCATGAGGAATGAATTTCCCTATTCCACCTTCAACATCATAATTAGCGACGGGGCTGAGTAAGTTAGTAAATTCTAAGAAAAATGAAATAATATGGTTTGATATATTTTACCTTAAAAATCAGATATAGGACATTGAAGCATAAAAATTACATGCATTGTCGATACGGTGAACACTACAAAATTGTCATATAATAATACAGTACCATTAATAATATATGTATGTCTGTGTAGATGCATTTGCCAAGTTATACATTGTTGAATCATATGCCAGGAATCAAAGAAATCTTTGTATTATCTATTAATTTGTTTAATTTCTGTGTTGGTCCAAAATGAATTTAAATGTGACATTAATCTCAATGGCCATGGATTTGTAATTTTCGGTTATAGCGAAGTCACTTGGACCTATGAAATAACTTCGCTATATTAATTCATTATATTCGTATAAGGGCTTCGTTAAATTAGTAAAGCTGGGGATCCAAGATAACTTTGCTATATCAGTGTAATCATATTATCCGTGTTCGTACTAAACGATTTTTACTGTATTATGTTTTGTAATTGAGTGAATTCAAATGAGAACACTTTGTTTTCTAGGTATATATGCACATTAGTAGTTGATATTCCACAAATGTGCAAGTGGTTGGAGCGATATTGGTTTCGCGGGGACCACATTTACTATCCATGAAAGAAGTGAAAACCTTGGCTGCAAATTCTTGTTTTTTACTATGAATATCCAAATGATTGTCTTATTAGAAATCACATAAACGTACTTTAAATGACCAGAAAATGCTTTCTGTATGATTTCTTTCTATAATGTAATCTTTTCCTATTCTTATACCTACGTTATTTAGTCTGCAATTGGTTTAAATGTCTAAATATAAGTTTGTAAATATCTCCTTTAATTCAAGTAGATTTTTTTTCTTCGAGTATTTATTATACATTACTTCTTAATTGGGTGTGACTTGTAAAGGAAAGACCTTATGGAATATTTTTCTTTTCATATAAAATCTAAAATTAAACAATAAATAGCAGTTGAAAAGATGGAGGATTTTCAATGTTTTGTAGTTGAATATGGAATTTATCTCACGAGAGGAACATGGTTTTTTGATATTTTCACGAGTGCAAATTACGAGTGAAAATATCAAAAAATCCTTTCCCTCTCGTGAAATAAATTTCATATTCAACTACAAACGTTGAATTTTCTGTATATTACATTTTCTTTGATTTTCCCTTTGCCTAGGCCCCCTTTTTGTTTTTTTGTAATGCAGTCATAGACGTCATAGCTGAGCGGTTGAGACGTCATAGCTAAGTGATACGAGATTTAAAACATTGTAAACATGAATTACAGCAACATATTTGTGAAAACTTTGGCAGTATTATTCTCTGTCAGTTTGGTTTATTTACTCTCTCTATATATTATAACAGTTGAAAGAATATTTTTACAACACTCTACGTTATGGGAAGGTAAATCGAGAGTTTAACCTCACTTTTGATATTTGCACATTGTGACAAAATATCATTTTTATATCCTTTCAGTCTATTACAGTATATCACTTTTATTCAATGGATAAATTACAGTATTTCTTTGTTGAAAATATAATAAAGCCGTATACCGCACCTTCGATATTACGGTATTTTAAAAATTCATTTGTAGAGTAGTAGTGAGTAGAAGTTAAATCACTTGGGAATGTTTGTGATCCAAAAAAAAGCGTCCATTAAATCTGAGGTCATCGGGGGGTTGAATGGTGTGCAGCAGACATCGGCCGATCATCGGACGATGTTCGACCAAACATTTACCCATAGTCAACCGACGTACCAACGATGTCCACCAATGTATGAGCGATGTAATATACATCGGCCGATCATCCTGGAACATCGTTTTATAATAAGCAATACATCGCTGGGCCTTTGTAAGTCCGGTGTAACGACGAAAAGTGACCCCCGTAGAATATTGACCAGGGGGTCATTTTTCTACGTAGAAAAATGACTCCGGGTCAATATTCTACGACAAGTAGGGTCATTTTTCGACTGTAGAAAAACATTCCATATCAGTAATTCTACGACTCAGCACACGTTGAAAAATGACCCCCATAGAAATTTGACCCCCTACTTTTTTTTTTACTATAAAACCTTATATCCGAGGCACCTGATATATTAACATATTTTCAAATGTAAGTAGGGGGATTTTTATGAACTTTAATCCTTTCCAACTTATATTTGATTGCATCTTAATAGTAGCATCACAATCAATGATTCTGGTATGGATTATTTTGGCTTGCAGAATCCCAATGAAAAACTTCAAGAGTACTGTGCAACAATATTATTCAAGAAGTGGTATGAAACAGATATGGATACTCAAAAATTCCAAAGAACTTTTGGACAATTTGAAATCACAAGATTTTTGTCCAAAATTAACAGCTTAAAAACTTACGACTTTTCAAGTTTATACGCAACCATTTCCAACGATAAATTAAATTGCAGGCTTTTATTATATCATTCACAGGTGCCTTTTCAAAAAAAAAAAATGGAACTCGTAAATTTACTTACCTGGTCATTGGTCATATTCAAATTTATTTTGTTAAAACATTTGATTGCACACTCAAGTACTCTGAAGTTGTCATCAAGAAGATGTTTGAATTTCTGACTAACAATATCTATGTGGGTTTTTGGAGACCAGGTCTTCCAACAATCTATTGGAAATCCTATGGGTACCAATTGCGCTCCGTTATTAGCAGACCTATTTTTGTATTTTTATGAAGCAGAATTTGTGCAATATCTTATGCGTGAAAAGAAGAAAACACTTGCTGTGGCCTTCAAATCGACATTTAGATACTAGTATATCGACGACGTATCGTCAATTAGCAATCGTAATTTCCATTACTACGTCGATGCGATATATCCTGGTGAACTTGAGATAAAAGATACCACAGAGTCTGACACATCTGTTCCATTCTTGGATATTTTACTTGACAAGGACGTTAATGGTAATCTAACAACTAAGCTATATGATAAACGTGATGACTTTAAAGTTTCTATCGTCAACCTCCCTTACTTATGCACCAATATACATTCATCACCTGCATACGGAGCTTATATATCTCAGTTGATTCGATACGCAAGAGCATGCTCTACGAATGAACAATTTCTTAAACGAAGTAAATGATTGACAAGCAAGTTGATGAAACAAGAATATCAGAAGTCTCGTTTAAAGTCATCATTTCGTAAGTTCTATGGTCGATACAATGACCTTGACAGCAAATACAACTTATCATTGAGTCAAATGCTGAGTGACGTTTTTCATACAAATTGTAAGTCCATTATTTATAAACTGAATTGAAGACGGATTTTCCCATTATTTCCTGATGATTTTATGGACTTTGATATTGAATACAGTTCTTGATCTCCATATCCTTCTTCATTGAGGAGCATAATTAAATATTATTATATTTTGGGGTGGGTTTTCTTTTATCATTCAAAGGTTCTGTTCCGAAAATGGCATGATATGTTTCTGATAACCATAAACTTTGAAAATTTATACAAATCCCAAAACAAAGCATAGAAGCAAGAAAAGCAACTCAATTTAATTATATAAATTTAATTTCCTTAGTTCTTGCCTTTAATCTCATCTATATATATATATATATATATATATATATATATATATATATATATATATATATATATATATATATATATATATATATATATATATATATATATATATATATATATATATATATATATATATATATATATATATATATATATATATATATATATATATATATATATATATATATATATATATATATATATATATATATGCATTCTGCTTTAAAATACATACTTTTTAACTTTCTTATGTAAGGTTCTATACTTTTACTTGTATATACGGGAAATACCATGCATAAACATCGAGAACGTTCTTATAATGATATTAAAAAAAGTCCTCCAACACTGTCAAAAACTTACATCTGAGTGAATATTCGTTCAACCTTTAGAGATATCTATAAATTAAAAAAAAAACAAAAAACTTTCCTTTTCAACACAGACAACTGACAAATGGTTGCTGTAACGTCCCTCAAATACAAATGAACTCTTAATCTATCATGCCATTACTTCGATATCTAAAGTCCTAGCAAATACCGTCCAAAAATTAATGCCAAAGTAAAAGTTTGAAATTTTTGTGTAAAAGTGTGTAAAACTCCAAGGTCAAGGTCAAAAGGTCAAAATTGGTTGTACACAAAAAAGGTCTTGTCACAAAAATACAACTGAAATATGAAAGCCATAATCCCACCCGGTCTAAAGTTATGGGCAAGGTACAAGTTTCTGCAGACAAATAAACAAACAGACAGACGGACGGACAGGCTAAAAACTATATACCCCCCTTCCCTAAACTTTGTTCACCGGGGCATAAATATAACAAGTAAAGTAACTACTTTTTCATAATCCAACATTTGTTTTGCTTTTTTTCTACATATGTTCTACTGGTAAAAAAACCCCTAAAATCATCACATTTACAAATGTAAGTCATGTACATGTAGAACGGGGAAAACGATACTACATGTGCCAATTTTGGAAAGACGAGCACTTCTTTTTGAATTTTTCAGGTTTTAAGCTAACCACTTTTTGTTTCCTATGTATCATAGTTCAGAGGCAATTTAAATACTTACTTATTTTTACAAATAAAATCGATCATCCCTTTTATTATGAGAAGTTTAAAACTCCATTCATAGAAAACCAAATATTTTTATAGGATCTATTTTTCTGAGCTAACGCCCTTTTTCGCGCGAATTTCAAAAATAGGAATCAATAACGTTAAACTTTTGAAAAATTGAGTTTTGCAAATTATTTATTCAGGGTAAAATCAAAGAGAATCATAATTAATCAACTCTGGAAACTTTTAAAAACAATTTCTGACACCAGCTAGAAAATGACCCTTTAAAGATTAAAATGACAACTGTGGAAACTTACTGTATCAAATGTAATAAATGATTGTATGAATGCGCACATATCTTTGCCTAAATAGCCTTAGAACATTTTAATACATGTAGATATTGTTTTCCTTCAATGGGGATAAAGCGGTTTGTATCATTCATGTAAGGTATTGTATAGCTTTTATTTCGTTATGTAAGCTTAAAAGCTTCCAGAAATTAACACTACAAAGCGTAAGGCTGCTTGATATTACACGTATACATTAGCTAACAAGAATATTCCTCTCTAAACGAAAGTTTTTGCATCAAAAAATGACAAGGGGTCATTATTCTACGGGGTCATTTTTCTACAATGCACACGGAGAAAAACGACCCCAAGGCCATGATTTCTACAGAAAAGTGGGTCATTTTTCTACATAGAATATTGACCAGGGGGTCAAATTTCTACGTAAAAAAATGACCTCGGTCAATATTCTACGGGGGTCACTTTTCGTCGTTACACCGGCCTGCAACCACGTCATTTTTATGAAAAGACGCATCGGTTGCCCATTGAATACCGCAGCGCTGGATTATGTGACTCATACTTTAAGGACTACTACGCCGATGTGGACCGATGTTGGGGCATCGCTCAAACACACGGATTATCACCGATTACCACCAGTCTACAGCCACCGGCCGCGAAATGTGACTAAGGCATTACTCTATTTATTTACCAGAATACATGTGTCATTTTTTTTTTCAATAAATTATTTACGAAATATATTTTAAAGTAAATGTTTTATTTTTATTTGAAATGAAATTATACAGACAAACCTTATCAAACTGTACGACCTGATCAACACGGTGAAGTTCCTCTACGTGTGCTCCATCCATATGAATAGATTTCATAATACCGTCAATAACATTGTCAACCTGAATACCAATTGATTTATTATTCAAATGAAAAACTGGTAAGAATTTCCCATTGCATATCCATTTTTCTAAAATCTTATTTTAAAAAATGTTCTTATGGAGAAAAATAAGAAAATTAATGCAATTTACATGAAGATTTTGACAAGTTTTAGGTCATTTTATGGAATCTGATTGATTTCCATCCTATTGCTTTCTTCATGTTTTAAAAAAAATCTACGTACGTCTTCAATTTTGCTTATATTTGTTATAGCTTCATGTAAGCCTTGAGAAAGCCTTGGAATTCTGAAGACATCAGAGCACTCGTCATCTTCTATAGTCGAAAACATCTCTTCATCCTCGAGAAAGTCATCAGTTTCCTCTTCTGAGTAAGAAGACGAACCATCAAATACCACTTCTGTTTGATTTTGGTATTCCAAAGATTTTTCCTCTTGTGCTGTTTGCTGAATATATTATATATCATATGCATTAATCAAATAATCAAAATTTTATGAATACTTACAAGTGAAATCTGTATACATTTAGGTATGAATTAATTAAGGGATCAGAGGTCATAGTAAAATCACACGGCAGGATGATCTTTTCTCCATATTTCCGTCTTACATGTAGTAAGACTTATTGCGGATTTTTTTTTTAAATTGATAGCGATGAAAAACAAATAAAACATTGATCCACATGCATGTTTTTTTTTCATTCAAAAGATGCCCATCCTTTGATTTAATCCCGAATTCATTTGTGGGTACGTAAACTAAAAGAATATACAACGACGTTTAAAAAAAAATCTCATAAAAAAGTAAAAAAAAAAATTCAGTAATAATCAATCTTATATCATTATGCAAAAATATTACCTGAACTAGAATGCAGAATGAAAATATTCAAATGTTTGAGTTTAGCAAAATATTTTTAAAAATCAATTTGAAAGAACTTCTTAGACAATGTGTCACAAAATAGCGTTACAGCGGGCCGATTGTGTAAATGTTGTCATTCTATTCGAATATTTGTCTGAAATATGAATAATAAAAATCAAAAAAAAAAAAAAAAAAAAAAAAAATCAAAAATCAAAAAAGTTTTAAAAACTCCACTGTGAATCAACCCTTTAATCAATTTATTTTAATTTTAACATGAAAGAATATAAACCTCTCTTTAAAAAAAAACCGTCTAACTAAAGTACGTATTCTTTTTACAGAGTTTAGTTGACAGTATACGAGGGGTGATCAAAAAGTTCACGAACTAATTGAATAACTTCCAAAAGAGAAATGATATAGGGTTTCAGTGTTGAAAATGTTTCAAAATAGTCATCTCCGATTTTAATGCGCATCTGCAACCATTCTGCCCATGACGTATCACGTGATATAGGCGGTCACGTGACATGTATTTCTTACCATGCAGGTTATTTTTTCCAACAAAAACAGTCCATTTGTCAGAAATAGCCAAATCTCAGCAATAGTATGGGTGGATAATGATATCCTTTTCCAGAAGGAGCATGGTGCCCATCAAAACCCAAGTCCTCTGTCTTTGGAGCGTCGTTTATTTCATTTGGATAAAGTATGGGTAACTTCACTTTATAATATCTGATATGTTTAAAGTCTAAAGTAAACAATATTTTAGGCATTTGATAATTATATCATTGTAAAGATATTCATCTATTTTTCTAACTGTAAGTTGGCGATCTTTCATATCAAATTACTTATTTAAAAGACACACTGGGCAACAGAACAAACATCATTTTTAAGCACCTCCCTTCCTTCACTTAAACACTCAGTCAAATTATTGACAAAACTTCTGGCAAATCTTTTGTCTTCATAACCCATATACAAATATTTATAAACTTCTACAAAGGAATTTCCAAGATAAACGTTTAACTTTAGAGCCATTAGTTTCTCGAATACGACTGAGTCAACAATTTTTTGTCACAGTGATCTACCTTATGACGTCATTTTCACGTTGTAACGTCACAAACACGAGGAAAATCGTTCCATTACATATGCTATTTATAGAACATGTGTATGACTTTATGTGTGCCAAATTTCATTCTGATCAGTATTGTTGTTTTGTAAATATAGAGATAGTTCGCGAACTTTTTGATCACCCATCGTATTTGTAAATAAAACTCATGAAAAAAGTTATCTCTGATGCCATTGTTATAAGTGATTTTCTATTCCAAGTGATATTTGTTGCTTGCATCAAAAAGAAAATATCAAAAGATTTCGAAATGAAAGATTTGCAAAGCGTCTACATCAGAGCATTTCAAATATAAATGTACCGATACTGCATCAGAAGAATTCCGCTTATTGTAAAGATGAAGTGATTGAGTGATCGGATTGAAACCTCGATAAATGTACAGTCGACTTCACTTTCGTTTTTAAAACTGGTCACATTTTATTGTACATAAATATTCAAAATATCAAATAATTGTATTTCTGCAGAAATTCTAACCTTGTCTCGAACGGAAATGATTGCAAACTTTTAAAGGATTTCTGTATAAGAACTGAAATATTAACATGAAATATAGGGAGATGACAAACATTCTTTTTTTATTTACTAAATGCTACATAACGTACCGACTTATACCCCGGGTAATTTTCTAAAAAAAAAAATATGTCAATATTAGAATGTTACCAGTGAAGAAGAAACCCTTAAGGGAACCGACAGATTAGTTTTGAGAAGAGATGTTTATTAATATTGATTACAGAAAAAAATGAAAATTGGAAATAACAAAATATAATATAACATGTATTACAAAAAACCAATAACAGCAAAGGCAAACTATTCAACACAAGTACTTTTCAGCACTTTAAACGCAATAATTTCTCACGATGAATTTAGTCCAGAGTTCTTTTTTACATTAAAGAAAGCTGTTTTAAAGTAACAACAATTTGTAAATATTCTTTAGTAATAATGGTCATTCATAAAACTATCCAGAAATAATACATTATGATTGTACACATAAGTTTTCCAAAGTTTTTTATTCAACTGATGCAGAATTTATTTAAAGAAAACCTCTGATGAGAGGTCTTTTACTATGATATTTTATGTTTGTTCATATATACGGTATATTTGATATATCCCTTTAAACTTGAAATGCAAGAAACCACAAATTATGTCAGCTCTGATTTATCTGGATATTATTCAGAAAAATAGCTTTTTGTAACCATACAAGAAACTTTTGTGTGGACCTGATGACATAAATCATATGTTTCCCATTAGTAGCATAACGCCCTTTTCATCTGCATATAAATTGTCTGTTTTCTAGTAATTCGATACGTACCAGCATTTTTAAGACAATCGTTTGACAAATAAGTTAAAGATTAAAAAAATATAAATATTCATCAGTTACAGACATACAAAAAGTCGCCTAAATAGTCATTAAATTTTTTCTTTTGTTATTTATTTTTGGATCAAAAAGCATTTTTTTTTTACAAATGTATGTTTTCGGGTAGACAAAAAGGAGTAGGCTTACAACTAACAAAAACGAAATGCTCTACAGTAGAAAAGGTAAAATAACGAACATAAATCGCTGAAGCCCATAATCAAGTCTCTAATTAAGAAAAATAAAAATCAAATAGTGGAGTAGTAAATAAAATATATATTCACAAATCATTGAAATTTATTTATGAATGAAACTATTAAATGTAAAAACAGTGTACACTGTCAGGGAAGTTAGTGCTCGTTTTCTGGTTTGGGCAGATTTACCCCCCCCCCGTTCCTCCCTCCCGAAATACCTTAGCCTCCGCTCAAATACGTATAGAGGAGCCAAGTTCATCCGAGTTGAACCATATCGTGCTTGTTTGAACACAATATTTAAAAAAGACAATAAACCTGAGTCGACAAATCAAATCCTTCGTAACAAAAAAAAATGAGTAATCCATCAAATATAATTACAGATGAATACAGTAAAAAATTATGGAATATTATACAATGTCATGTACAATACAAATAAGAAAATTAATGTAAATTTAAGATCGAATATTGCTATGTCTGACATGCAATAGTTCAGTTGTGAACTTTACAATGATTTAATAGGGCAATTTTTTTTAACAAATTGAACTAAAGCAATACACATTTTGATGCCTCTAAAGTATTGAATTCTACCACGCTGTGCCAAGGCCTCGTGTTTTCATAGGGTATAGAATGTTGTAAATTCCCAAATGGATGTCATAAAGAACATTTCACTGAATGTAAATATATCCTTTCATCAGTCTATGAACTGAATTAATAATTTCTTAGTTTGTTTTCTTTTGACTAAATTATAATAATGCTTTTATAAAATGTAATATAATTTCAAACTGTGGCGTTGCTTTTATACCAATGATCTTTCAGAAATTAGTATAGAAGAAATTAGTATGAAATATTTATATTTCTTTCTTTTTAATTTCTTCATGAAGCCATTCGTTCATAAAAAAAAATTAAGGGTGGTTCAAGAGAAAGAAAAACATTGAGAAGTTGGCGGTGCTTATTGGAAAAAAAACCTCTCATTTTTGTGATTTTAATTTATATATTTTAAGTTCTCATTTTGCACCTGGATTTAGATACTGGTATTTTCCGGAAGTGCCTTTTATGGAAGCTTGGTAGGATTCGAAATTTAGGACGTTAGTCAGTAGTGATTCTTTAAGTCGTTTTGCATCAAATATTTCAAAGTAGAATTATTTTGTCAGGACATACTCAACAATATTGTGCAGAATTAACAGAGTTTTAATATGATATGAAGCAGAAAGTGCTGACTCAACAGATTAATGGCCAAGAGGGGCCAAAAGTCTTATGCAATAACTCTTTAACAATCAATATTGTTGTATACATTACTAAAGCAAAAATGTTTATCTTAACAATCTACAACTATATACATGTATTATGATTTGTATGTCATATGTTACATAAATAGGGGCCACAAGGAACCAGAATGCTAAAACATTAACGCTTTATGTCTCAAAAGTGGGAAATAATTTGATATAATATTGAACAAAAGATGTTTAAATAAGGTTCTGCACAATATGCAATCTTTCAATTTTTGCTTAACATTCCCATTAAGGAATTCAAGGGTTGCTCCCTAAATATTTCTTTCGCAATTATTTCGTAAACGAAAAAGAATCTCTGAATAGTTGTTGAGCAAACCGTGATCAAAATCATAAGAGGTTTAAGGTCAAATCAAGAATAACGGGCTGGACACTCAAATTAGGGACCAAGAGGGGCCAAAATCTTTAATCGATAACTCTTTAAGGAGAAATGATACAATTATTTGCTTTTCTTTGGAGGAGACTTAAAGTGACAATACGGCGCATCTCTTCAAAAACAGACTTTTTCCCAAAGGATTTGGAATTTTTTTCATACTCACAAATGTAAACACTTTCAGAAAATTACAAATTTCATAAGTAAATAATTCTGATTATTTCATTAAAATTAATAATTATTTATGGTTCATAAATATATACAACGCAACGTGTTCAAG